AAAAAAAGAACTAGGTCTGATCATCTTTATAGATCTAGTATCCAGTTGAATGCCTAACACATAAGCATCTCTCAGTATTTAAAAATTAAATGATGAGGGCTGCCTGGCTGGCTCAGTTGGTGGAGCCTGTGACTCTTGATCTTAGGATTGTAGGTTCAAGACCCTCATTGGATATGAGATTACTTTTAAAAAAATAAAAATCTGGGGCGCCTGGGTGGCTTGGTCGGTTAAGCGTCCGACTTCGGCTCAGGTCATGATCTCATGCTCCATGGGTTCAAGCCCCGCAACGGGCTCTGTGCTGACAGCTCAGAGCCTGGAGCCTGTTTCAGATTCTGTGTCTCCCTCTCTCTCTGCCCCTCCCCTGTTCACGCTCTGTCTCTTTCTGTCTCAAAAATAAATAAACGTTTAAAAAAATTTTTTGAAAAAAATAAAAATCTGTAAAATAAATAAATAAAAATTAAATGATGAAAATAGTAAGTTTTTAAATTAGTACACACCCCAAACTGTTGCCCTCTCCTCCCCCTAGGAGAGCTTAAATTGGGACTCCATTTTATTTCGTGATAGCCCTTTCTAATTTATTAGTAGTCCTGTGGACTTTGAAGAAGTAAATGCCACGTTATTTTGCATTTAGACTTAGAAAGACTAACCCTCTTTCACATAGATCCTCTTTTGCCCCACCAAAAATATCTAATCCCAATGTTTTCAACTCCTTAGCAGCTGATAACGGGAGTTACTTTTAGTTCTCCCTGAGGTCATTTTGCTCCTTTCTGTGTCTCCAGCGATAATAGGGTGACATCCTTCAGAGACCTCATTCATGACCAAGACGAAGAGGAGGAGGAAGAGGAGGGCCAGAGGTGAGTCTTTGTTAGGGGGCACAGTCCACAGGAAAGTTCATGATAATATGTAAATCATCTAGAAGGACCCAAAAGGATAATGTGCTCAGTTCTCATTAGCCATTACTACTGTGGGCTAGTCTAGGTGGGTTATATCCTAGAAACAGTCTCCCACTCCCTGTAGCTTAGAAGTAATCCCTTTCCCCTGTTACTATTTTTTTTCTTTTGGGGTGTTTTGGGTTTGTTTTTCTATTTTTAACTATTAATACATATTTGTTGAGGAGTATTAAGGGAAGGGAAACAAACTGATAAAAAGGAAAAAAGTTGTTCTTTATACTGCAACCTAGTGCTAACCAGGTATCAGCATTTTAGGTGTATATTTTTCTAGCTTTTTCTTAATTAAAAAGGCAGTATATTGCATAATGAACAGAGTAAAAGCTTATCAATGTGTTTTTTCTCCAACACACACACACACACACACACACACACACATATTGTCTGTTTTTAACCATTATGAATGTTATAATAAAAATAGTGCTCATTGTAGAAGAAACAGAATAGTGTACTGAAAAAAATATGACACTCATCCACCTTTTGGTAACTGGAGTTAACATTTTGGCATAGGTCTGTTCAGTGTTCTATATATAACTGTGCTTTGTTTTGTATTGTATTTTACATGGTGTTGGTCAGGTAATTTTGTGTCTTGGTTTTATTGGATTAAGGCTATATATTCAGTACTTCTCCGTGCCATTAAGATTCTTCGTTAGTGTTTTCAACAACTATAATAACTCATCAAATGGGTTGTCCAACATTTAAGTTGTTTACAGTTTTTTTACCACTAAGTATCAGTGCTTTGAACATCTCTGTGTATTAATCTTTGACTGCGTTTCAGATTATTTTTCTTAGCGGAGTTTCTAGACATGAAAGGGACAAGGGAGTGAATATTTTTAAGCACTTGATTACACGCTCTCAGTTCACAAGCGAAGGCTTTGAGATTCTATAAAGACCACCGAGCAGAACTTCATCTGCAGCCTCATTTCACGGGTTTTAGTTCCCCATGGGCCCTGCCTCGGTCTGTCAGACATTCCTAAGGAACATTACAGTAACCATTATAGAAATGTAATTATCTCATCATGGTCACTCTTTGGGAAGTGGGCTGAGAAATTACATGTGTTCTATTCTCTGTTTCATCCATATAGTGACCTTTACACTGCCTCACAGCCTTCTTTTTAGATACATTCAAGGTTCAGAGTTTTACACTCCTTGAGTGAAAGGCAATGCCATCAAGTATGTGAATGCCCAACTCCTAAATGGCCGCTGCCTCCTTTTCCTGTCCTGTCACATCCTCCAGGTGATGACCTTCCTTTATTTCACATCCTGATTACCTCCTCAGCCCCTCAGCATTTCAGACCTGATGACATTGGTGCTGTCATCCTTGTCAAGGCCTGTGGCTTGCCTTGCATTCAGTGGGGAATGTCAGGAAATAGAAGGCTGAGACTAATTTTGTAGGTTCTCAATGTCCCCACTTAGCGACATGCTGTTGACCTGGCAGTGAATAGGAGTGATGAGCCAGGCTACGTGAGTACTGGTTTTCAGAACCGGCGTAAAAACTGCTAACTCCATCTCAAGCTGTGCTTGGCCCGTTGCAGAGCCTGGTGTGGGTATCTTGGGGCTGGCATTTAGCTTTCCCTGACCTTCTTCAGTGCCCTCTTCTCATTGCCCCCGTTGTACATCACAAGAATAGCGAGGTGAGGCGAGGCTCGGGTGAGCTCTCGGTGCTGTATCACACCACCTTACATGTGTGCATTACTCTGCTTATTCTTTTGCATACATCCGCTGATTTGAACCTCATGGCCCTGACTTAAGGAGCAGGTAGGTAGGGCATGTGGTCCTTCCCTCCTATTTCAGAGATACGGAAAATGACATGCAGGGCAATGCACTGGCTTGCCCAGGGTCACTCAGCAGCAGGGCCGACACTGGAGCCTGGCTGCTTGTACTAACGACGCCACTGCCACTATTAACCCAGAGCTGTTAGTGGTAGCTGCTTCTGACTGTGACCACAGTTGCTATCTCCTAGAAAGGTGCCGGCCCCTGGATGAATAATTCCCAGCTGGGACTCTTTCTGGAGCTGGCATGCTGTCGTGCATGCCTGGAATGCCCTTCCCTGGTTTCTTCACCTGATAAACTTGTCCTCGTCCTCATCCTCAAGATTCAGCCCAGAAGACATTCTTCTAGGAAGCCTTGATTGTCCTCCATAGCTCAGTGCTCCAGAGCATCCCTTACTGACCTCCATTGCTGTTCACACTGCATTATGCCTGCCTGCCTGCTTACATGTTTCCCCAACTAGACGGTAAATTCCTTGAAGATGGGCGTTGCACCCATTATTGCCTCAGTGTGCCTAGCACCCAGCCCGGAGCCTGGCATGTGCTCTCTTCATGTTTTCCAAGTGCGTTTAGTGTTAGACATGTATTTTCTGCACAGGTTTTATGCTGGGGGCTCAGAAAGAAGTGGACAGCAGATTGTTGGCCCTCCCAGGAAGAAAAGTCCCAACGAGCTGGTGGATGATCTCTTTAAAGGTGCCAAGGAGCATGGAGCTGTGGCTGTGGAACGAGTGACCAAGAGTCCCGGAGAAACCAGTAAACCGAGAGTGAGCACAGGGGATCATTGTCTGTGTCCACAGGACTCTGGTTCTGGAGACTGGGAGGAGCCCTTCCTCACCCCAGTAGTGACTGAATTTGTTTTTGTTTCGTCTTTTCTTTTATTGCTCACTTGCTCTTGTATCCAGAAGAGCGGTGCACTTTCTCTCACCTTGTAACATGAGATCAAGATTTGGGGCAACTTTCAAGCCTGTGGGCTGGAACAGGTCCTGCAGACATGTTTTATTTGGCCTAAACCAACTTGACTTATTTAGTATTTTGCTTTATTTTGTTTTAATTGAATTGTAGTGAATTGAATTGATGTGTTACATAAATTCTAGATTTCTGTCTTCTTTGGGAATGTCAGAAAGTCTTCGCTATTATCTTGCACCCAGATTCCTACATGGCCATGATTAAGTAGAGCTTAGTAGCAGCTGTTCCCTTTAGCCAAGCAGCCCTCCCCGCTCCCTTCCAGTTCTCACCATTCCTGGCCACTTAATTCATCTACCATACTGGTTGGCCCTGTAGCTGTGAGTTCAGTACCAGAGAAGGTGCACCTAGTAGGTAAGATCATTGTATCTGAGGGCCCCACACCTCAAGTGTTTATCAACGTGTCTTTTACAGCCTTTTGCAGGGGGTGGTTATCGCCTTGGGGCAGCACCAGAGGAAGAGTCTGCCTATGTGGCGGGAGAAAGGAGGCGGCATTCCGGCCAGGATGTGAGTGCGCATCTACCTTCCTTAGGGGAGCTCAAAGCGTGTTCTGCCAGTTTTCAGAAGGGATTGGTCACATATTATGTGTGAACCAGCAGCCTCTGGAAAGGAAGAGGCAGTGCCATCACTGTGGGCCAGGAGTGGAGAGGCTCACTTGACAACAAAAGTCAGCTCTCATCTGGCTGGGCAGGGGCACTCGAGAGAAGGAGTGAGCGGAGGGGATGGGCAAACAAAGGAGTTTTCTGAGGATTCCATGAATGTTGGGCGGAGGGATCATGATTCTGAGGTTTTCTGGTGGTGCGGACATGGCTAAAGAACTTAGTCTTCAGGGGCGCCTGGGTGGCTCTGTTGGTTGAGCGTCTGACTTTGCTCAGGTCATGATCTCGTGGTTTGTGAGTTCGAGCCCCGCGTCGGGCGCTGTGCTGACAGCTCAGAGCCTGGAGCCTGCTTCGGATTCCGTGTCTCCCTTTCTCTCTGCCTCTCCCCTGCTCATGCTCTGTCTCTCTCTCTCTTCCAAAAATAAATGAACACTTAAAAAAATTTTCTTAATAAACAACAAAAAAAGAGCTTCAGTCCACCCAAAGCACAACTTTGAAAAAATTTACTATTGTCCAACCCTTTTTTTCCTGTGCATAGGGTCCCTCTCCAATCAGTGTCTCAGACTATATAGATAATTGTGAGGTTTTTAAATTTAATATTATGCCATAAACAGATGTTTGGCCTTGGGACCATTAGTTTTTATGATATATTTGTTTTTAATCATTTTGGGTTTATTCCAAAACGAAGTCAAGAAGAAAATTAAAATTGTATCCACCTGAGGCAGCTGCTAATATGTTGGTTTGTAACCTGGACCGTTTTCTGTGAAAATGTCTAGGGAGTTAACACAAATTGTAGATAATCGTTTTTAATGACTGCAAAGTAATCCCATGAGTAAATTTGCCATGGCAGTTTAGTTGAGCACGAGCTACATGCCAGGCACACTGGCAACCCTACAGATAAGCCACAGATTTGATTTAGTCACTTACTCAGAGCCACTTAGGTAGTGAGTGCAAAATCAAGATACACACCCAGGTCTGCTTAAATCAAAACCCATGCTCTTAACCTGTTGCCATATCACCTTCTTATTTTAATACTTGGTTGTTGATTGATTTCCTTGTGCATGTGCACACGCGTGTGTGTGTATGTGCGTGAGTGTGTGTGATGTTGTCTTTCTGTGTTTGGATAATGACACAGTAAAATGGTAAAAACCTGCTAACCCAGATCGGTGTTACTACTGCACACGTTGATGTGCTTGCCAGCTTCCTGATAATGTATGGACTGCTTACCTCCTATTGTCACAGGTTCACGTAGTGTTGAAGCTCTGGAAGAGTGGGTTCAGCCTGGACAATGGTGAACTCAGAAGCTACCAAGACCCATCCAATGCCCAGTTTCTGGAGTCTATCCGCAGAGGGTGAGCAGAAGAGCCCTCCTCTGGGTTCCATGTTAGTGAGTAGAATGGCAGATAAGAATGAAGAGGCTGATTTAAGAAGTAAATTTGGGGGACACCTGTGTGGTTCAGGTGGTTGGGCATCTGACTTCGGTTCAGGTCACGGTATCACGGTCCGTGAGTTCGAGCCCTGCGTCTGGCTCTGCGTTGATGGCTCAGAGCCTGGAGCCTGCTTTGGATTCTGCATCTCCCCTCTCTCCGCCCCTCTGCCACTTGTGCTCTGTCTCTCTCTATCAAAAATAAAAACCTAAAAAAAAAATTTTTTTTATAAAGAAGTAAATTTGGGAGTGACTGGTTGGATCAGTCAGTTAAGCATCCATCTTTGGCTCAGGTCATGATCTTATGGTTCGTAAGTTCGAGTCCCACATCAGGCTCGCTTCTGTCAGCACAGAGCCTACTTTGGATCCTCTTTCCTACTCTCTCTCTGCCCCTCCTCTGCTCATGGCGCTCGCTCGCTCGCTCTGTCTCTCAAAAATACATAGACATTTAAGAAATTTAAAAAATTTTTTTAAAGTAAAAAATTGTAAGTGAATTTAACAGATTCACAGATCTCAAACCTTGTGTGTCTGTTATTCCCTTTTGGGCCTGGGGCAGAACCAAGTGACCAGATAAGATAGAGGTCTCAGCCATGACTTTGAGCAGGTGAGAAGCCAGCAGGAGGCAGACCATCGCCACTAAAGTAGCCGCGCCCTGGGGAGACCCAGTGATTTTCACATTTGGAACTACAACGTTTCTCCTCCCCTCGCACCCATCACTGCTGTTCCCGTGCCGCTCCGTGTGGACCCAGCATTGCCTTTTCTCTTGCAGGGAGGTGCCAGCAGAGCTGCGGAGGTTAGCTCACGGCGGGCAGGTGAATTTGGACATGGAGGACCATCGGGATGAGGACTTTGTGAAGCCCAAGGGAGCCTTCAAAGCCTTCACTGGCGAGGGTCAGAAACTGGGCAGGTAAGAGCAGCACAGGTGGAAGTGGGACGTGCCGGTCACTGCGCCAGGTCCCCCAGACCCTGGGTACCATCACTGTGCACGTAGCTCTTTGCCGTTTCCGAGCACTGCGGATTTTATCTGTAGGGGCGGAAAAGTGTGGAGAACGTGGATTTTGGCGTTAAACGACCTGAGTTTAAAATCTCTTCATTTTCTAGCCGTATGACCTTGGACTACATAGCCTCAGTTTGCTCAAGCGTAAAATGGAACTGAGAGTCCTTACTCCTTAATCATTGTGAGGAGCGCAGAGCACTGCCCCACAGTGCACAGTCAGTGTGAGCACAAAGGGTAACACGTTGCTGTTTTGACTCCGTAATCTAGCACGTTCGTGGCAGCAGTGGTCTCCTTCGTAGCTTAAGGCCAGGACAGACACATGTGTTCTCAGGAGTCACCTGAAATGGGGATGCGGAGGGATAAGAAATCTCTGAGTCTTCTGCCCAGCCAGACTTGCAGCCTTGCGGCAGCATTGTTCAGGATCCAGGGAAGCTCGGGGACATCGTTGCCCTGTGCCGGCTGCTCTCCACCATTACTGCAGCTCTTGTCTCTACTACTTTGGCCCTGCATGACACTCACTGTCACCTCCTGTGCCTTTTTCTGCCCTGTGTCCTCTGCCACTCTCTCCATCTTCCATTTAGACTCCTGATGGGATCTGATCGGTTGAAGTCACTGTTGCCTCTAATAGGCAGAGTTCTCCCACCAGACCTCGGCCCACCCAGAAGCAGGCTTCCTTCTCTCAGAAGCCAACTTGTCTCTGTGTGATGGGTCACTTGGTCAGTATTCTCCAGAGGGAACTGTGTGCAGAAGACGCATGCAGGGAATAGTGACCCTCCCTGCAAGTACATTCGTTACTTTACAGAAGGAAAGCTGAGGTTCTTGGACCCTAAGGGTTATCCTTGGGTATATAGCTGGTGTGTGGTGGAGCCAGGACTGGAACCGAGGCCTTGTGATTGGCATTCCTTCCCACACCTGCACAGCAAGCACCCTCTCTGAGCCCGATCTGGCAGCTCTTGAGCTAGGCACTGCCCGTCTCCCCTCATCCCTGTCGGCAGAGATCGGAGTGTGGTCTGCCAGTAGCTCTGCCTTTGAGCTTTGGGTGGGGCCTCTAGGAGACTCCCCGTCGGCCATTCGTGCCTTATCAAGAGCAAAGATAATAGCTCAGGACATTAGCGTGGTCTCTAGTAGATTGATTTACCGTAACCAGGAGAGTAAGTTCACCCTTTTCTCATTTCATCCCCCACATTGGGCCAGTCGGTTAGTGCAGGACAGCTGTTCTCAGATTGGCCCTGTCTGGCTTCCCTGCCGTCTGTGCTCAACTTTGTAGAGCAAGAGGTAATTTCTTTTTTCTTTTTTCTTTCTTTCTTTCTTTTTTTTTTTTTGTTATTAAAACAAAATGTGTTTGTTTGTTTTTTTAAATAATAGAAAGTACAGATTAAGAAAAAACCTAAACCTAACACCCAGACATATGCGGTTAGTATCCTTCTAGTCTTATAAACATGCTGTTTTATCATTTGCTGTTTTGCCTAATGAAAGTAGCATGGCTGTCATTCTATGTCAGTAATTGTATTTCTGCAATATTATTTGTCATGCTCACATGATTTTCTATCTTACGTATGTGCTATAGTTTGATTAGTCCCTGCTTTAACCATTTAGACAGCTGCCAGTTTCAAGAACAACATTGCAGTGAGTGTCTCTAATTAAATCTTTGTATACCCCTTAATTTTGGGCTAGAAGTAATAGTAATATTGCTGTCTTGAAAGGTCTTCATATTTTTAAGATGGTGTCAAATTGCTCTCCTGGCTCAGAACTCAGAATACCGTGTAGCTTGGGCTTGGTTGGTTTCTTGATACTAATGGGAAATGCTACTCCTGGGAAGTCTATAGGATTTGTGCAAGACTCCACATCTCAAAAAATTAAAATATATTTAAGGAGGTCTATTTTAGCAGGATGGGAAATAAATAACTTTATTAGTGTGGAGGATGCACCCAACAAGTTGAAACAGATCTTGATAATCAGGGTTGACACAGTTTGGTTTTGTCAGCTAAATAAATATTCTTTGCCAGTTCCATTTTCATTTTATTTCAGTGCTGGCTTTCTATGAAAAGTGAGCAAAAGACAAGTTTCATATAGCTAAGTGAGATGAGGTTTTAGCTTTTCAATCTAAACCAGATGGATAGCTTTTTTAGTTTTTCCCATAAATTTTGCAACGTTTTCCACTGTCATCTTGTCAACTAAAACGATCAAGAGCCAGAAGTTTAAGAAAATGTTCTCAGGTTTGCCTCAAGAATTAGTCAGTCCTGGGTTTTTTTCCTCCAATTAGCTGAATGTATAAATTGTTCCCAGTTCAAAAATTTGAGAAAATTCTTACAGTTGTATTAAACTTTGTTGTTTTAGGTTTTACAGTTGTTTGTCTGGATGGGACCTAATCTGAAGGTCCAGAAAGGCTGCGTTTATTCAGTTATGAGTAGCAGACGCCCAGAGTGCCCCGGGGGTGTGCGGTTGCTGCTACCCATGTTGAGTCTCGGCTACTCACCGTGCTTTCTGCAGTGGTCGTTTTTGTAAAGAGGTGACAAAGTGTCAGCGCTTAATGGTGACAACAAAGTACCTTCGTGCCCAGTTAATTCCCAGCCACAAAGGAAATGAGCAGTCGGTGATCCAGGCTCTCCATCTGGGGGAGGCTGTTTCCCTGTGAGGTGTATGGTGTCTGCAGGGAGACAGTAAAGAAACTTCCTGTAGATGTCTGATCGGACCGTTCGTCCCCGGGGGAGGTGCCTTCACTGCTGCCGATGGCGTGGCCGCCCCTGGAAAGGAGTGGTTCGAGTGTGAGCAGTGCTCAGGAAGCACCAGACCCAGGGCTGAGCTCCTTTGGGCAACTGCATGTGGCTGTCCTACGTGACAAGAGCAATTTGGACCTACTACTATCTGAGTGTGAGGGCCGTAAGATCTGGTGTTGCAGTTACTCCTGCTCCAGTCCTTGAGGGCAGCGTAGGTTGGGAGTGGCCTGTAGGGGATTTCCAGTTACAGCCCTTGGACAGGCACTAGCATTGGGTCCAGAATTTAGACAAATAGAAGTAGGGCAGGACCTTGAAGAATGATAGGAAACAGTAGTTACAGAGTGTTTTTTCTGCTGTTAGCTAAGCACTGTAGTAAGCATTTCACATGTGTTATCACCTTTAATCCTGTTTTCACCCCCAAATAAGGGGATGAAATAAGGACTCTGAGCCTTGAAGAGGTCAGATCACATCCAGGTCACACTACTGGTCAATGCAGAGATGGTTCCCTCCAGTCTCTGCTCTTCCCTACCACGCTGCTTGCATCCTGGATGTTCTTACATAGCCACGTAGGCATTTGTGCTTCTAGTACCTGCTGGGTACGGTGCATTATTTTTAGCTATTATCCCAACCAAGGGAAATTTCATTTAACTCCCTTTTTATTGATGTGCAAACTGTGTCTTGGGACAGTGTTCCTGAAATCCAGGTCTGGGTCTACCTGACTCCAAGGCCTGGAGGGAAAGTATGACAAGAGCCAGGCAGCTTGGATTGTATCCTGGCTTCGCGTCAAATCAACACCGGGATCTTGGGCACGTGGCTTAATTCCATTATGCCTCAGTTCCCTCATCTATAAAGCGGGGATGATGAATCCCTTCCTCACCCGCCGTTGTGAGAATTAAATGAACTACTACATGTGAAATACTCAGCACGGGGCCCAGCTCGGTGATGAGTGCATCATAAACATGCAGTGTGTCCCTCACACTTCCCCAGCTCACCGGATTCACAGGGTGTGCAAGAGAAACAGAAGCAACACGGCCAAGTGTGCACATCAGGCTTTCCTTGACCCTCAGGTGATGAGCACCAGCTCCATGCGAGAGGCTGTGCTGGGAAGAGAGCCAAAACCTCAGTTGCCTCCTTGTGTGGAGGACTTGCTGAGTGTCTGGTCTGTGTCCAGCCTGCACACGGTATGTCAGCTAACCCCCACGGCAGAACAGTTCCTTGTGTAGCACGTGCACACAGTGAAGCCCTGGGAAGTTGAGTAACTTGGCCACAGCCGCCTCTGTTGTTTAGTTCAGTGCTAGAGCTGGGACCCGATGGCTCCAGGAGCACAGTGACTCTCCTTAGTAGTACTGGCTGCCATTTAGTGGACTGCCTGCCCTAAAAGGTGCGGAGGTGTAGGGATAGTATTGCCCTGTTACAGAAAAGGAAATTGAGAAGCCCAGATGTTCACTAACTTGCTGAGCATCAGGCAGCTTGTAGGAGAGGGGGGTATCAGACTCTCTGGGAGCCGGGGAGGAGTTTGAGAAGGCAGTTTTAATATATTAGTTTCCTAAAATAAACCCTAGAGTTTGACACTTGACAAAGTCCTGGCTGGAGGAACACACAGAACGTACAGGGAAAAAGCTCGTTCATTACATGAATTTTTAACAATTGAAAAACTGCTCTACAGCATGTGCTTCTGTTTTCCTGTCTGTAGGGTGGAAACAGCACCCATCTCAAAGGACAGTTGTGACGAGTCCGGGAGGCTATGGACATCAATCCCCCCCTAGACAACACATGAGCAAAGTCAACGTCATTCCTGGTTCCCTCCTGCCCCCACCCTAGGTGAAACTGGTTCTCTGGGCCATCTCCTTTCTCATTGCAAGCCTGACTGAAGATGTGAGAGTTCCCTTTCTGGCAGGCAGTAGCTTCACGGAGTACCTGTCCTGTCTTTGGAATTGTTACTTGAACAGTTGAGAGACAGGCTGTCTATAGTCTAATTAGAGAGTTGACCTCATGCCCATAAAACTAATGAACAGAGTCAGTCTTAGGCAGTTACGGGTGTAATATTGAACCCTCCACTGTCTCTGAGCATCTCTTGAAGTCTGTGATGGTGTGATGTCTGCATGTGTTGGCCCACATTTGGGTCCCACCCGCTGAGAGGCTGATGCATAGAAAGGAGCAGCTCCTCTCATAGCTGGGTTCTCCCCTGAGCTCTGCTTTGTGATTCTCTGAGCCCTCATTTTTTAACAGTCACAGAAAACAGTTCACTTTTCCGTTCTTCTTTGCTAGTTATATGCTCTAGGGCAGTGTTTCACAAACTGAGTTCCAGGACATACTCTATATGCAGGAGGTTTAACAAGTGTAGCCTGAAAAAAGGACAAGGTGGTCAAATAAGTTTGCCTTAACCGCACAGCCTCTCAAGACCTATAATATGCAAGTGGCCTCTGGTGCTGCCGGTTTGATGTGTGGCATTTCCACAGCCTTCCTGGGGATCTCTCAGGGGATTAGGGTCTCAGGAAACACACTTGGGATGGCTTTATTAGGAGTGCCATTTTTAGCTTGTAAAGATCCAGGGGAGAGGGAGAGGTGTAGGAACTGATGTAATCCGAAGCTTGGGGGAAACAGGCAGGCTGCCACCTCCTGGCCTCTCTTCTCTGCAGGGGTCTGGGTGAGGGCGGCTGCTCAGTGAAAGGCTAGGAGGGGGACACACAGGTGTTTACAGGAGAGGGGCGAAGCCTCCAGAAGTTGTCAAGAATCGGGAGTTCTGTGTACATTTTGTGTGTCAGCGCTGTGTGTATTTCTCTCCTTCATCCCTCACAAAAGCTGAGCAAGGCAGGTCAGGTAGCCTTAACCTTTGTTAAAGAGCTTCGTTACTACCCTTGTTGAAACTAAGGGAGCTCGAGTAACTTGCCCAGCGCCGCCCGACTAGTGGGAGCATTCAGACGCCGGTCCACTTGATCGAAAATCGGTAGCAGACGCCGTGTCCTGTTGATATTGTGCAAATAATCCCTGTGGTGCGGGGTGCTTGAGTTGACCTGTGGGAAATCTCTGTCCCCTTCTGGTAGTTGACGCAGGAGGATGAATGTGCACACGAATAAGGCTACACTGGGGGGTACAGGCCTGACAATTCCATGACCGGGAAGGAGTCTGGACTGGTCCCTGCATCCCGGCAGTCACCTGCCCGGCTGTCAGGCCTGCCTCCACTACGGATCTGGAGTACCCTTGGCCTCTCTCGTTGAGGCTAAAACCCATCCTGATCTGGTCCCGCCACAGGCTGTCATGCATACTGCTTTCCTCCCTTCGGGCCTTTGTCCAGGTGAGGGCACCGAAGCAGAAGGGGTGAGTCACTTGCCTCAGGTTACTCAGGAGTTTGGAAGCTAGCCGCAGCTTGGGGCCTGAGTGCCTTCTGCCAGGCCTGTAGGTTCCGCGAAGGCAGGGCTTGTCTGAGTCACTCCTTGTAGCCACAGCAGCGAGCAGAGTCCCGGACACAGCGCGTGCTCAGGCTGACTCCAAGGCGGGATTGCCCTCCTGCAGGGGCCTTGTTGCCATGTGTGGCCTGACAGGCTTCTCTCTCCTCAGCACGGCCCCCCAGGTGCTGAATACCAGCTCTCCAGCCCAACAGGCAGAGAACGAAGCCAAAGCCAGCTCTTCCGTCTCAATCGACGAGTCCCAGCCCACCACAAACATCCAGATACGGCTCGCCGACGGCGGGAGGCTGGTGCAGAAGTTTAACCACAGCCACAGGTGCCTTGCGCCGTCTGGCCTCGCTTGCTTGGGGAGGGCTCCCTAAACACCAGCGGGCGCTCCATGCGGTCCCCGAAGGGGGCAGCAGGATGGGAAGGTCTGAAGCCTGTGGTTCTAGTCCCCACTCTTCTGTTAAGTGCGGCCAGCGACTGCTCACTTCGTGCCTATAAAGTTAGGGGACTGGACTTCTCAGGGTCTTTTTAGCCCCCACAGTGTGTGTTCACAGGAAATTTCATGGCAGAGCCCGAGTGCAGAACAATAAAATCTGATCTGCTGTGGTTAATGGAGAGGAGAAGGGGACACAGCACCAGCCTCCCTTCCAACTGGGTGTCCCTCCCCCCAGGGGATCTCTGAAAATCACTGGGCTATGTAAGTCTCTTCTAGATCTGCCCTTCGAAAATTCTAGAATACCTGCTCTACTATTTCAGATCATCTGGGCTGGATCAAAGCAAACTGCCAACCCCATGTGAAAGATGGGGAAACTGAGGCATGGAGAGATTGCAGAGATTAGGGGAGGACTGTTAAACCAGTATTCTAGGTATTTGGCAAACGCCTTTTTCTAGGATAAGAGTATCCATATTTCATTAGGCATAGGCCAACTAAACCAGAAGCACGTGTGGGGCCCAAGGAACGGCTTGACAATCCTTGAGTGCTGACGGGGTCACATGTGGGCTAAGTCCTGAAAAGGTTTGATTAGGATTACAGGACAGGAATCAGGCAGAGGAGCCTCGAGGGACCCCAATGTTGGCAGGAAGCACAGCATGAGGAAAATCTAGAAGGCGGGACATAGCAAGGGGAAGGAGCATGGGGGTCAAATTAGGTAGGGCTTGGGATCACAGTAAGGAGGTGGTGTTTATCCCACGGAAACTGGGAGCAGTCGTGAAGGGTTTTAGGCAAGGGAGTGCCGTGATCTGACGTGCTTCCCAGTGAGTGCTTTGGCTGCCCTGTGGAGAAGGAAGGCCGGGGGCTATGGACGGCAGAGGCAGGCCCTGCTCACCCCCTTCCC